TATCCTCTGGTTCTGCTATTTTGATTTTTGAGATTTATGTTGATTTTACTTCACTCTTCTTTTGATCCACCACTGCACTCTGACGGTTTAATTACTGCACTTCCACAAATGGTTTATGCACCTTTAGCCCTATATGTATGTTATAATGAACTTACTGCTTAATGATCCTTCATACATACATTTTTACTTGCAGATCATAATTACGAATGCAGTTATTTTGGTTCTACGTTAAACTCATGTCATCCATGTAAACTGGAAGTTTCTCCAAACTTGATCAAGTATTGGATTCTGGATTGCGTTGACAGTTTTAAACCCCGTGTTCAAGGAATTTGCAGAACTCATCATTGAGCAGAAGAAAATTTTTATTTCCTTAGAGGCATCTACTAGTTCGAAGAATGACATCAATAGCTTTTATGGTTCTTTTATAGAATTTGTAATGAGTTTGTTTTCAGAGATAGTAGAATTGTCCTCCAAATAATGACAAATAAGAGAATTGAAGCTATAATATGTGTTGTTGTTTAACTTTTTACACTCGTTTGTTTCTTTCACACATTGTGTGACATTGTTTACACAAATGTTCATTTGTATTGCACAATAATGTATTTTCGTTGCAAACGTGTTCATGAATCAATTTAATCATAATTTGTGTTATTCATTTACTGTTGATTACTTACAATATCTAACTTATAATTACCTAGCAAAATTCAATGTGTTTCAGTCTCCCTGTGTACTTGATATTTTGGGTAGTTACTTTTGTTAAGTGTCATATTCAATTTTTTCATGCATTATACTATCGTTCAATTTATTACTATCATTTATCATTCTATTCTAATTCAGTATACCACACATTTTTTTTTGTACTTTAAGTGCATATTTTGTTATTATATGCAGCCTTTTTTTGTTATAATATTGTTCAAAGTACATGGTATATTATGATGCAATTTTAGATGCCATGTTAAACAGCAAGTGCACATTGCTTTTAATAAAAGATATAAATCCAAACATGATATTACATCACCAATTCAATGCTTTAATCTTGTCAACTTCGTCCAAATTGTTCATGATTAATGGGTTTGCATCCACATTTGGTGGTGTGATGTCCATTAGGAGAGAAACAATAAACACAAGTGTCTTTTAACCACGAGTCACAACCTTTAGTTTGTCTGACAAACATCTCATGGGCTAATGCGCGTGTCTTCTTTCAGAAACAGACCCATCCAACAAGTTTTTCGGTGCATCTTTCATTTCAGTGAGTGCTTTTACCAACAAGTTTTGTGATGATCTTGTCCTTAAAGTTCTGTATCTTGCCTTCATTATCTTAATACTAATATTGACTTTATGTATGCTGCATCCTCTATTACGTGAGTTACAACTCCAGTTTGCAATGGCTGTATCTCAAAGTCGTCATCAACAACCTTACTAAGTCTCCTTATCAAACCTGTTTTTCGGGTCCTTCCCCTTTTTGTTTTTTGGTTAGCTGGCAGCTGTTTCCCTTGTTCCCTACATGATATATTTTCATGCACATTTAGAACACAATTGATGCATATCTTGAATTTCATCAACACTTCGTACTTATAAAAAAACCATGCTTCACATGCATATAGTGAATATCTATCCTGCAATTTCTCATGTTCCCACATGCCTTTTCCACAACTAATTTACTAAATGCACCTTACCAAATTATGATTACACTTCTTTGCATGAGTTAACGCACTTTTACAACATTGACTTGAAATACATTTACTGATACAAGATGATGTGTTATTATTGCAGCTTTAAATTATTATGATGCAAATTTATACCTTTCTAGTGTCATACATACCTGCGCTGATGCACTTTTCAACACAAATGAAAATTTTCTTGAAAAGTACACTTTTTAATTAAACTAATACACTTTTGTTTACTTGAATTGCACACCATTCCAAAACTAATTTATGTGGACAATATGATTTTCTTACAAAACAATATCACAACTAATTTACTAAGTGCACCTTACCAAAGTATGATTACACTTTTGGTAATTTAATGCACTTTTACAACATTGTCTTGACTTAAATTTATCACTATTGTATTTTTGCTTTATTAATGTAAGAAGATGTGTTATTATTGCACTTTTTAACTTATTTTCGAGCACTTTTATACCTTTTCAGTGTTATACATGCCTGTGTTAATGCCCTTTTCAACACCAATGAAATTCTTCTTGAAAAGTGCACCTTTTAGTTAAACAAGCACGCTTTTGTTTAACTGAATTGCACCCCATTCTAAAACTATTGCAAAGTACCCCATATTTTCATATTTTAACACACTTTCTCATCAATTCACTATAATATATACTTGTGTTAATGTTTTTTTTATTCACTACACTTTATTCATAAAAATTCATTCAGTACACCATAGAAAGTTAATACTACTCTTTTCACTTAACTTAATGCACTTTTTAACAACAATTTTAAACAAAACTCCAACACTAATGAGCTCTTTTTTTATTACATTGTTAGTCCACGTTTTTGTCATTTAACTGCACTTTTTACTGATTTAATTGCACGTTTTAACAATTCGATTTTACTGTAACAATGCAAATTCACTTTCACTTAAACTCACTCACACTACTAATTAAATGCACTTTATTGTGTTGGTGGTTCAAAATCTCACCAAATTGTTGTAGTGTATTCAAATTTACATATAGTGCTTAAGAAATCAGTCACCAGTTTGTTTGGTTTTCATTACAAGGTTTGATTTGAAACATCTCACCGTAATTCCCTTCTTTTGACAACCATTGATTGAACAAAAACAATAATGCTCTGTCAAAAAGTATGTGGTGCACAAAGATGAATGAACCCTACTTCGTAAAATCAAAATACTCGATGTTACCTTTTGCTGCAGTATTTTTGCTTCCTGCGGCGTTTTCATCTTCGTTCGATTGCTTCATTCTTCTTCCAATCCCTCCTAGGGTTCGCCGGCAATTGATCGTAGATATCTTCTTCGATGGCTTCATCGCACCCTTTTCCCAACCGCCCTTGAAGTTTTTGACCCAAATGCCCTTCATTAATTATTCGTATGCGCTCATGCCAATTTAAAAGCCAGCACGTGTGCCTCATGTGCACAGTTTTTTCTTTTAAATCTGCTATGGGAGCCGTAAGATTGAACGAATCAAGGGCCTCAATGTGTTCTTACTTCTCTCATGGGCCTATGTTCTCACCTGATCCTTCCCCTATATATATATATATATATATATATATATATATATATATATATATATATATATATATATATATATATAAGATCAAATACAAAGTATGCTTCCCATACAAAATGCAAAATCATCTCATCCGTTCAATATTATAAAATCAAGGGTGGGATTTGTTTAAACCACGATATCATGCCATATTAGTGCTTCCGTTTTTAATCCTCTCTTCATTAAATGCATGCGGACCATGCAATTATTGGATTTTTTTTGAAAACAGATTATTGGATTAGTTTTTATCATCTACACCGTTAATTCATTCTTATAGATGGCTATAATTAGTTTCCACTTTGTAAATTAAGATTATTTTGTATGTGATTCTAAATATATATACAGACACACACTTTGTATTTATCTTCACTCTTCATTTGTAAGATACAAAAAAATAATTTAGACATGAAAATACATATTTAAGCATATACTCGTATCATTTTAATTTTTACACATTTCATACATTTCATATTTGTACGGAGTATTTATTATGTTTGGCGATAACAATAGCAAATTGCATTTATATATTTACATGATTCATTTGAATAAAATTGCGAATATTACAATATTTGTACCACCGACTCTTTTAGGTTTTTTGAATATTTTATGTGATATTATAAATGCTAATCAACTATCTTGTTTTTTGTAAGAAGTGAATTTTTTGTAGTGATAAAAAAGACGTTAGAAGTTTTAATTTATAATATTTTATTATTTATTTTTCAATCTTTTATTTCCTTTTAAATTTTATTTAAATAATCAATAAATTAAAAAAAGATGAGATGGACTACTACTACTTTCATTTTGTTATTCTAAAATATAGAACTTGATCAAATAAAAATAATAAACATAAGCAAACGAATCAAACCAAACTAAATTAAACATAATATTTTTTACTTTGGTAAACCGAACTTCAAACCAAACCGAACCAAAACCAAACCGAAATTGAACCGAAACACAAATGGTTTTAGTTTGATACAAATTCTCCCAACCCGAATAAACCGAAACCGAACCGAAACCGAAGAAAACTGAACCGTAAACTGAATTGCCCACCCCTACTTGGTCATCAACACAAACCGCTCTTAATATCTTACTTTATATATCACACTTTTATCAAATCTAATACTCCGTATTTCATTATGCGATTTGTAAAACTTTAATGTAGTTTTTGAATATGTAAATTTTATTTACTAAAAATAATTTGAATGTGAGTAGGGATCCATTTGTTTTATCGTCGGTCAAATCTTGTAAACCGCAATCCAACCATCAAATTAGGACGGATGGAGTATTATTTAGTATCAGTCGGTCATGATTTGATCTGGCCCATTAAATAAAAAGTAAACATGTAGAGCCCGTTTGGTAGCACGAAAATCAGCTGTTTTGGCTGATTCTACTGAAATTTCTGAAGTTCTGGCTGAAGTGGCTGCATTGGCTGATTCTGCTGATTTAAGAAACAATTATTTTTAAAATATATTTTATTAATAAAATAAAGAAAAATTTATATGTAAAAATAGCTAAAATGATCATCTACAGTAACTTCAGCCTAAACAGCCAAAAAAGTAACTCCAACCTTACTTTTTCTGCTTATTACACAACTCAGCGCGCGAAAGTAAAAGTTACGTGTTTGGTGAAAAAGTTGGCTGATAAGCCTGATAAGTCGAAAAACAGTGCTGCCAAACGGCCTCGTAAAGATAAAAACAAGCACCTAACCCTCTCCACATCATATCATTAAATTCATTATCAATCCCATGAGTTAAGATATATCAAAAGCAAGAAGGGTATAGGAAAAATATATTTACCCAGTATATGACAGTAACTCAGTAAGAGAGAATGCCTATTAAATACTTCGTATATATTGTTTTGTCAACATCTCTTGGAGGATGGTCAAAAAACAAATGGTTGTATGTAAATGACTAAATGAGAGAGCTCGAGAAATGGGCTAGTGAAGCTGGTGTCTCCTGTAATGCAGCCATCTCCAACTATATGGATTCAACAAAAAACGTGTCAATATAATAATTTCAATTTCATATTATCCCATAATTACTCGTATTTGGAAAATAAAAACAGAATTTTCCTATTTATAAATTTCACATTATTTGTACTCTTTACTCTACTTAAATTGAGTCATGTTCTTGTCTAGCTGGCCTGATGGCAATCGTCGTCCGGCCGAGGGAATTTCGGGCACTTCTCGATTGAATTTTTTGATGAAATTTTTTGAGCATGTTCTTCATCAAGTCTAGTTTATCCATACCAAATTTTAGCTCAAAATTCGATCGGGAAGGCATTCAAATAATTTTTTGAAGTTGACTGCGTCAAAATATACATATAAAAACGCAGTCAACTTAAAAAAATGATTTGAATGCCTTCCCGATTGAATTTTGAGCTGAAATTTGGTATGGATAAACTAGACTTGACGAAGAACATGCCCAAAAAAATTTCATCAAAAAATTCGATCGGGAAGTGCCTGAAATATTCTCGGCCGGACGGCGGTTCCCGTCAGGCCAGCTGAACATGAAGTTTTCTCACTTAAATTAGAGCAATTTATTTAAATTATACTCCATACTGTTTTGTTTTGTTTTGTTAGACAATATAGAAGTATTATACTTAAAAATATTAGAGTAAATTCATTAGCTTTTTCATCAAATAAAAAGTACTAGTTCCATAAATTTTTTCTACTTATCATTTTTGTAATGTCCCAATTTTTTTCTCATTTCCCCTTTTGAAAAGTATTTTGTGTTGAATATTCATTTATATTTTTTACTGAACCACAATTATATATATTTTCACTTTATTTTGAGTTTATTTATACTTTCTTAAACTCTAATTCAAGTCAAATTGAGAAAAAAAAATTTAAGGGATGGAAAAATAAAATAGAAATGGAGTTACATACCAATGGAAATCCCATCTGGGCCGGAGTTTGGACATCCGATTTGGGCCATATTCGAAATCGGTCTCGGCCCTCCTGGCGTTCCGGAAAGCGCAGCAGCCCAGGGAGTAGATGGCGATGAGACAGATAAGGACGACGATGATGACGACGGAAACCTTTTTCCAGTGTTTGCTCATTTCCTCCGCCACCGCCGCCTTGCATGAATCACAGCCGTAGCAGAGCAAATTCGGGTCGGGGCTCCACCGGTAACAATCCGCAACCGTTGTTTCTGCATAGTTGCATGATGTTGGTGGCTTGCAACACCCGGACTGTTAATCATTATGATTATTTGAAATTAAACAACTATTCCTGGTAAAAATTATGATTAACCTATGAACAAAAATTACACTCATCTTTTCATAATTTCTCATATTATACTCCGTTTATAATTTCTAAAAAAAGGAGGGCACCCCATCCCTGAGGGCCCCCAACACCGACCAGACGGCACGATAGGAGGATGTAAATTGGACTATAATCACAATCTGATAGATAGAGAGTGAGGCTCCGTCTCCGATACTTGTAGAGACCCTATGCATTTTTAGCATAATAACCTCTCATCGCAGTTGCCGGGAGTTTATAATTTCTAAAGTATTATACTTCCTCCCTTCTACAAAATTCTTTCCACTTACTATTCCTCACATCATATCCAACTTACAATGAAACAACATAGAGTAACACCCAAGCCAATATAAAGTGGTTTATGTGGCTGATATTTAATTGATAAAACAAGAATAAAATAAGAATAATTTAGAGCAACACAAACTTTACCAAATTTGATCAATATCATTGGAACAAAACGAAAATGTAAAATGAGACAATCTTAGCGGGAAAATCATAATGAAACCATCAACGGAAATAATTCTTTCTATTTCTCCTTTTAAAAGGTTTTGTGTGGATAAGTAGCTAACATTCATTTACCTTTAATCAATTACATTCATATTTAAGGAACTATGCTACTCTATATTTTACTCATATATTGAGGAATTATGTTACTCCGTATATTTTATGCATATGTACTATTCACATGTGAGGACTATAATTGTAACTTTTTTATTGTCTAAATTATTTGACTGTAATGTTTCAGATAAAGTCTCTTACGTACATCTATTCCATAATTATCTTCGTAATATAGGGGATGTTTGAATCTGTTTCTTAAAACTGTTTCTACTCTTTCAGGGAGCAAAAGCAGATATTTAAGCGTTTGGGTGAAAATGCAAAAGTACTTTTGTGTGTTACGTTCCGAATTACTCATAGAATCGGTTTTTTAGAAGCTCAGGGAGACCAGCTTCTGAAAAACTGATTCCGCTTCTGCTTTTGAAAAAGAAGCAGAAGTAGCATAAATTACAATAAACACCCCCTAATATACAACTTTAATCTCAACCACACATCTTTCAAGTTTCAACCACAATTAATAATGAGAGTGAGAGAGACCCAAAAAGGGATGAAACCCCATCCCTGAGGGCCCCGCAACACCGACCGGACGACACGATGAGAGAATGTAAATTGGACTATAATCACAATCTGACATATAGAGAATTTGGTAAGAGAGAATCTTTTTTATAGTGAGAGACCTAAAGTCAACTCAGTCTAGAGAGAATCTTTTTTTATAATCAAACATATTTCCTCCGCCCCAAGCTAGTTTACTTTCCTGTAAATCTGTAATTACAAATAACGTGGTCTGCTTAATCTATTTTGCAGTGTTACTACACGAAATACTCCGTATTACAGTTCCCTTTTTAATAAATATGAAAGTTTGATTTACACGTTTTAATTAAATAATAAAGAAAATATTTACCTAATAGGCTAATAACACAGAATTTAGCTTAATAGTTAAAAGACATTCAAAAACTATACTAAGGAATTTATTCGAGTGCAATAACAAAATTTATAAAACAATACCCCTAAAGGTAACAAGGAGATGGAAGACAAAATAATAATAAAAAATAATTTTAATAATAATAGTAGAAATGATGATGATGTTATTTCAAAATATGAATAAGCATTTGCCATTTGGCATATATATATACCTACCTGTAGGGGTGACATATCTCTGAAAAGAAAGTTATAAGAAGACCAGGAAGTAGCAACACTAGCACAAGTCTTGGAACCCAAAATACAAGCCCTTATGCTCACCCAAGAATGAGGGTCCCTCACCTTACCCCTCATCCAAGGCGAGTAGTTTTCCAGGTGGTACTCTCTGTACAGCCTCCCGGGAACCGCCACGCCACCATGCGGACTGGTGACGACGAACCCAAAGATGGTGAATGCCAAAAGTGCCCCTATGATGAGCAGGATGATGACAAGGTACAACCATATTGCCCAGACAACGCGAAAGCATGCCCCTATAAAACCGATTAGAGAGACCACGACGATCACTAGACCGATGGCGAGGAGCGGCGTTTGGAGAAATTTCTCGCATGTTGGGCTTCTCCTCGCCATCCATAATCCGGCACCGATGATCGGAATTGATGATAGGAGGGTGAAGAGGTTGAGGAAGCCTATCACAGTGTTGCTTAATCTATTGTACATATTATATATTGTTTGTAAGAAAAATTACTGTTGCTAAGTACTCTACGTTTTCTATTCGATATGGTTCTCTCTAGATTAGAGGTGTGTAACAAAGAGTTCAAAGAATTTGTAGATAAGAATTTTAGAATTGTTTGGTTCCTTTTTGGGGAATATTAGAACCTTTTTTGAGGAATATTAGAGCTGGAGTGCTCTTTACTTATGCGGCATGCACGAAATTTTAAAAGAAATTCGTGTGTTAGAAATTTATACAGAGAAGTTAAGAAATACTCCATCCCTCCCCACTATAATTTATCCCATTTTTTCTTTTCCGTCCATCACTCTAAATTTGTCTCATACCATATTTGGTTATATTTCTGTGACTCTAATCATTCTTACTTTATTTTTACTTTATCAATTTAATATCAACCACATAACTCTACTTTTCTTAAAAATCGTACAACTCTCCTTTGTCCCAATCTTAGGAAGACGTAGGTAGTAATAACATTGACCTAATGTTTTTGTTAAAAAGAAATGAGAAATAATTTATGTATGAACAAAAAAAAGAAAGTGGAAAATGTAGGGAAAAATTATAGTTTAACATTTGTTTACTCCATCCTAATATAACTACACATATTAGATTTTTTAGTGTGCTTTCTAGTATTTGTTATAAACTTAAACGGAGTAGTTAAATACTTAAATGTCAAAATCGTTGACCGAAATGAGTTTCAATCTTATGCTCTCCTTTTTTGAAGTGTTGCAGTGATACTATCGAATCGCAAGATACTTGATCGGCAGGGCCGGTCCCGAAGAAATGTAGACCCTGTGCGAGAATAAAATTTGGGTCTTTTTTCAAGTTGCAACACAAGCAAATTGTCTTAAAATACAACTTACGAATAAATGTAATGATAAAAATAGTCATTGATAACTTACAATTTATTTAAAAAGGGACATTCTTCAAGCATATTTAGATTTACGCAGGGAGATTTTGGGCTGGAGCGTAATGCTAAATTTTTTTTTGGGCCCTTCAAAAATCCGGGCCCTGTGCGGTCGCACTGGACAGCCATGCCCTGGGCCGGCCCTGTTGATCGGTATACATATTAGATTATCACAAAGACTTTTAGACAGTATATATTCTCAATAAATTGAATGGCTTAACAGTAAAAAGTAGATCAGGGAAACAAGGGATTAGTAGATACAATTTTTTGTAATGATTATTATCAAAACTATTAGGGTATGTTTGGTTCAAGGGATGTCAGATTATCATGAGAATGTTAGATTACCGGGTATGCTAGATAGATGAAAATGTGATTAATGTATAGCCCATTTGTGTTTGGTTACGCTTATGGTAATGTCACATTAAGTTATTTGCTTGAATGATATCTTATATCGCATATTTGGTGAATTACTTGAATGCCCTTTAAATTATTGTTTCTTAACACATTAAACTTATCAATTATTTAATGAGTTTCATGCACAATATGGAAACGCACCCCCTCCCCATAAACGAACATCTTTATTTAAAGGAAAATCATTTTTGAAATCTACATTTGGCAATCTTATGAAAAAAAGTATATCAACTCCTATTGTTGAACAGAGTTCAGTTAAGGAGCTTTCTATGTATCTAACATTTCTTGTTGATTATGAAGAAGATGATGACTTTGACATTCTAAAGTGATGGAAGGATAAAAGAAAGAACGTTCCCGATTTTATCAAAGATGGCTAAGCAAGTGCTATCAATGTCTGTTTCAACAGTTGTCGTAGTACAAGAATTTAGAGCGGCTGACAACATGCTAACAGATTATAGAACGAGATTGAGCGCAAACTCTCTGATCTTGAGATGCTTGTTTGCTACTACTATTGGTTGAAGGCCCAACGTAGAACTCAAGAACTTAGCATCACCTCCACCCAACACTTTATGGAGAAAACAACAACCGACGGTGGCGGAGATTCCGATTGATTATTATTTATTAGAAAATGTATTTCATGTTTTAATTTTTTTCTCAATCCTCAATTGTAGTTCATGTTTCAAATAAATATACTTTAATTTTTTATTAGATGTAGCACTTCTTGAATTAATTTTTAAACATGAATTAAAAAAAATGTACCCAGCCCGGCCCGCTACCCGGGCGGGTAGACCGGCCTGAATCCGTACCGGTCAATAGCCGGGCCGGTCCCGGGATACATTCCCAAAAAGCCAAGCCCGGCCAGGCCCAACCCGGAACCGGAACAGAACCGGGCCCGGTCCACCCCTAGATATGTTTATTAATGAAACATGAGTTTTTTGGGAAGAAAATTAATAAGCCACCAGGAATCTTACAAAACCTAAGGCATTGGTGGGTTTGACATGCCTGGTAATGTGATCACCTTTTTCACTTTTGGGAATGTAACATTCCCAAACAAAAAATCAATCCCGCGAACCAAACACGGGTATCTCACATTCCGGGCATGAGATTCCGCCCTCTATAAGATATCACCTTGAACCAAACATTGCCTTATGGTTAGTTGGTTATTGTACTGCCGATTCGTGTTCCCATTTTTCTAATATTTAGAAGAAAGGAAGTTGGAGAAGAGAAAAGAATAGAATAGGATAGATTGAAGTTCGATGCTTATTCTATTAGCTTTGCTTTTTAATCCTGTTGATCAGATTCAGGGCCGGTCCTGTCCAGTTTAGGGCCTATGGGCGATATACTATTTTGGCTTTATTTCCAAGACAAACAGTAAATTTTACTTACTTAAAGTAAAAAGGATAAAGGGTCAAATAGGTACATGAACTAACTTAAAGTGTTCAATTAGCCCCTTATATAGGAGGTTCTGCCCGGACGTCGCCAATTGGGGTGGTTCCCGGTGGAATTTTTTGATGAAATTTTTTGAGCATCTTCTTCATTAAGTCTAGTTTACCCATACTAAATTTAAGCTAAAAATTCAACCGGGAAGGCAGTCAAATGATTTTTCGAAGATAACTGTGCAGTTAAACAACGCAGTACATTTCGGAAAATCATTTGACTGCCTTCCCGATTTAATTTTTAGCTGAAATTTGATATGGGTAAACTAGACTTAATGAAGAAGATGTTCAAAAAATTTCATCAAAAAATTCAACCGGGAACTGCTCCAATTGGCGACGGCCAGGCAGAACCTCCTATATAAGGAGATAATTGAACACTTTAAGTTAGTTCATGTACCTATTTGACCCTTTAGCCAAGTAAAAATTACGGAGTACAATAAAACTAAGAGAAATTACTCTACATATGACTAAAAACGTTTGTATATTCCAAAATAAGATTATCATGTTTTTATTTTCTAAATAGAAGTAATTAATGTCATATTTTGGCAGTATCATATTTTACACATGATAGTATTTTTCGAACATGACAGTAATTACTTCTATTCAGAAAATAAACACATGACAGTCCTATTTTGAAATTCTAAAAATATTTTATTCCTATTTCAGGAAATCTCCCTACAACTATCTAATAAAGGTTATAAAATAAAGATGAAATTCACCTTCGTATTATTTGAATTGCATATTTGGACAAAAGTAACAACACACGTATCACAAAAGAACATTATGAAGTATAATCATAAACAATTGCTTTATAATCAATCTTTTCTAAGATCACATGTGCAATGTTTAAAATTGATAATCCATTAAGTTTTTTGAGGCATAATAGATAATTGGGATGATGTTTGAGAATAGGGAGGCACCGGTAGGCCAAAGACAATAATATAAATTGGTAATTTTGTAATTAAAAGAATAAAAAGTCTAAGAGCTAAAAAGATGTGAAGAGACGTTCTTTTATTGATTCAACAACAAATGTGTTGACTTACAACAAACTCTATTTAAATATCAAAACTAAATTTGTATTCTTTTTAAAAGCTTGTCTAGCTTTGTTCAAGATTTTTTACTTGTGTTTTAAAATTCTCAAATTGTCAACAAAAATTACACATTAGGCCTAATTAATTAATTGAAATTATAAATAAAAAAGAAGCATACTCATATTACATACTCCGTATAAAGAAAAAAGTTTGGCCTAATTTTCTTTCTATTTTTTTTTCGGGCCTAGGGCGGTCGCCCCTGCTGCCCTCCCCCTAGGACCGGCCATGATCAGATTGATTGATTCCCCTTATTCCACGTACTATATATTTTAGCATAGAATAAAATTTCGCTTCAAACGACCCGTTGAGAAATGAGAAGCATGTTGTGACTTGTGTCACCTATCTATATACAAAGCACAGTGCAAATGTCTGGGAGTCGAAAAAATGCTGTTTTTTGTTGGGTTCTTTTAGGAATTGGATTCTCTGCCTTAAGGCAGAGTGCCTTACTGCAATCAAGGGCAGAGATTTAATCCATGACTTTGGGATAAGTGAATAAAGTGGACCCCTTCATCTTCTACCTTTAATTTTTTCATCTGAGGGTTGAAAATGGCCAGGCACCCTCCTTGCCTGCCAAAGCAAGGCAGAGGCCCCTGGTCCGTTCTTTTAAGCCAATTATACATCGGATTCACATTAACTTCTTGGTGTTATTCTTATAATCAAGAGCATTTATTCTCTTACACACACTTACGCATAAGTCTCATTTTTATCTCACAAATTTTATATGTAAGACTTACATTTTATTTAATTTCATTTTATATGTATCACTTTTCACCCACTTTTCGCCTATTTTTACTTCTTGATTCCGGTGTAAAGACCATTTGTGGACATTATCATAGACATTGTTTACAATTTATTTCGATCTCATTCCTTTTTCTCATTTTTTCCTAAACGCCACTTTCTCTTTATTAAATTAAAATAACTTATCATCTCTATCACTCTCAGCCACGTAGAATAGACTTCACTATAATTCACTACTCCATTGAAAATGTTCTAAGCATACATGCAAAAACAAGAAAATCTTTCTCGATATAGTCATGTCATCAAATTCATCACCCGTTTTGTTTTTAATGAAAGTTCATACAACCATTCTTGGTGTACACGTTTTTATACCCATCAGTACAAGCATGTGTCTGTGAGAGTTTTTTTTGTCTGTGGAGCACGGTCCACAGACATAAGTTGGCTTGTTTTGTCTGTGAAAAATTTCACAGACAAA